AATGTCAGACTATCGATAGACGAAAATAATATCGAGGTATCGCCGTTTTAGAAAACCATCGATAGTACCATCGATTGTTTTGCATCCCTCATCGTCTATACTATGCGTACAGACAGAAGCGCGCCTTTTCTCACATTCTCGAATAATTTTAAAAGTTTAAATTTTTTTTTCTTAAATAGACCTCAAATACATATACGCAAATACATATGTATATATGTAAGTATGTACGCATAGCATCAGGCATTCCAGCCTTATACACGCGCTCATTTGTATATGTGCATGTATGTACACATAAATGCGTACTCTAGCATATTGTAAGAATTTCGCTGCGATTGATTTGTCTTTGCATTGTTTTTGAATTTCCAGCCGCTACACTGACTTTTCTTTGCTATGTGGCGTCATAACAATAATGTGATTTTGTTTTAACTGCTGTTACTTGAAACGACGCGGTGGTGCTATAGGCAGAAGCGACGGCGACCTTTATTATAGATATTTTGACATGAACATGCTATTCGGCTTGGGTGCGAGGCTCGCACTGCGACCTCAATCCCGCGGAAAACTCGTTTTTGTAAATTGCAAATATTTTTGTTATTTTAGCTTTTTAAAGAGGCGTAGACATATAATTTTGTCATTAATCTTTATAGAATCATAACATTACCTTACGTGCATTCTATATTTCAGTATTCTAGCTGTAAAACTCTTGGAGATAGTTTTATCCGATTTGCCACTCCCCCAATGGGCGTAGTACATTCTAAATTTCAGCGTTCTAGCTCTTCAACTAATATGATTTCTGCCCTATCGGAAAATTTATTTACCGATTTGCACGGTCCTAGTGGGCGGATCGAGAAAATTTTAACGTTTTATAAATCAGAAATATACCCGAGTATGTGTTCCTAATTTCAAGTCTCTAGCTTCAATAGCGTCGAAAAAATTGCGTTCATACGGACAAGACGGACATTGCACAAAACCAATATACTAATTCACTTTCGTGAATTAAGAAAGCTCTAGTCGAGACTGCTCCACTACGAAATCCCTTAAACCCTTCGAAAAACTAATACTTCAATAATTGTTAGCTTCTTTTCTGCACATGTACACTCACACCCACGCATAAACACGCATTCGCTGCAGCGTGGGCTTACTAAGGGAACTTAATTGTTTGAAAACTGGATAGACTATCTTTATGAAACTTTTATATCGTGATTATAACATTGAAATGTATGCACTGCCAAAGCTCAAGTCTCTATTTGACATACTCCTTTAAAAAATTTATGGGAGAGGGGGTCGACATAAGGGTGAGGGAGGGTTTGTTGGTGTTCTGAATTATAGCAAAAATCTAAATTCTGTTAAGAACATATGAATTTACATTTAAAATGTTTCGACTCTATATCTTTATTAATGATTTTCTATGTTTTTATTCGATCAGAAAATAACGAGACAAGTTATCTATTTTGGAGAAAAGCTTGATATGCGCGTGATATACACGGACCTAGGAAAAAAAATACTTCGTATATCTTTCGAGATCGACACATTCAAACATACGGAAAGACGGACGGACGGACAGAGCTAAATAGACTCAGCTGATTAAGAATATATATACTTTATGATGTCTGCCACGCCCCCTTACATACATTTAACATAACCATTATACCTTGATTTTCCATTTTCAATGGATAAATTAAAAAAGATAAATATTGAAAAAGTCCGATTTGCTTTGATTTGTATATTCGATTTTTTACAATATATGTATTACAATAGTGTATTAAAAGAAATATAGATAAACCAATCAATAGTTAGATTAAAGATTAAAGATTTAAACAAATTGTCGGTTTTTCAAGAACTCCAGCATACCCTGAACATTTGCATTCACCTGTGTTTGAGATGTGGACTGCCCATTGATAATATTGCTGGTCATGCTCATACCAGGAATCACTTGTTGGGATTGATTGCTGAACACTCCTATACAACAAATAATTATAATAAAAGCTAAAAGATAATTACGCATCCTTATTTTACCTTGTCCATTTTGCTGTTGATTCTGAGCCAAATGTTGCAGAAATAGATCATGCTGAGGATGGTGAGGCATTTGAGCTTGATGGGGAAAGGATGAGTACTGTCTAAATGACAAAATAGCAGGGTCCATGGCAGTCCAGTCACTGCTACTATATCCTAGAAGGAAAAGATTTTAGGATTTCATTAATATTATTTATTTGAGTTCTTTTCATATTTTAATATCTTGTATCTGTATAAGGGAAAAACGTTAATTTTCAGTAAATTGTTAAAATGGGTCTTATGTTGTTAAAAACAAAATTTTCAAATAGCTTTCTATTTATTTAATAAATTTTTGTTTATTTACCCTTATTTTGGATGCTAGCTTGGGCAATTTGGTGCTGTAAATGGGAGTCATTTATCGGCGCTGCTTGGGGTTGTTGTAATGTTGCCAAATGCGAGCTCCAGTTTGTTGCCAGTGGATGTTGTTCGACTTGCGCAGTGCTATTTCCAACCGAGCTGCTTGACATATTAATAAAGGGAAAAATTTTACTCGAGTGTACTTTGTTTGCACCGTCAAATCCTAATGAATTCATATGATTAAATCCAGGTGGTGGCATTCGGGTGCGTTGCATGTTATCAAGAATTTGATGAGGAAGTTGTGTTTGCTGTTGTAACTTTGGTCCAATTCCATTAACATTCTGTTGAACTACTTCATTTTCCATAAGTTCAGCAAATCCCTTTTGTGTTTCAATAAACGGATCGAAACCTATAATATTAACACAAAAAATTATAAAAAATAAAAAAACTTCAGAGATATTTGTCGACGACATCGAAATCATACTTAGTCATATTTTTATATTTATACACGTATAGGAAAACTATTGACGCAATAATGTTTTGTTTAGCTTATTTGTGACTTAATTATTTGAATTAGATATTCTACTAATACTCTCTAATTTGTTAGTTTATCAACTCAGTACCAACTCAATTCCAAACAGACCTTTAATAAAAATATTTCGGTAAAATTTAGAACCAATATTCAAAAAATATTAAAGTAAAACATCTATTAAACACAAACAAAACTAAATGCACAATTCGGCGACTGTACTGCTAAGGATATTTTTATACAAAAGTTTTAATAAGCTTACACACTTACCCTACTATGGGAATATTTCTAAAGCAAACTCGCAAGGTATACAGGATGTACCAAAAAGAATCTATAGATCTTGTAGGTTCTGAGATCGACTCACACATACGGACAAAAGGACGAGCAGAGACCCGGACTGAGACTGAGCTCAGCGCCCCGAACCAAAATATGTATATTTGATGCCTTCAACTTATTACTTATACCATTACTTATATTAAGAAAAAATCAAGAGTTAAAGTCATAAAGAAGTGAAGAAAGTTAAATTTTTAGTAAACAATGATCACATTGTTTGTCTAATCACATTTAATATATACACTGCGGATCATCAGGTTAGCGCCGTTTACGTTTTTCTCTTCACCTATTGTACGCCCCGCTGCGGCTGGGGGGTGGTGTGGCATTGGTGTAGGTAGCAATATCTTACTACAGCACTTGCAAGTTTTCAATTTTTGACATCGCGCATGAGCGCATGGAACGCGCATGAACGTATAGGACTATAACACAGTGTTTAAAACTACTGTCCCGCATTTCTATAACCTGTCTGAAAACCGGCATTAGATTTTCCAGCATTATGATGCTCATCATCCAATTCAGACCGCCCGATCCGTAAATTCCTGGATTCAGGGACAAAAAATGTATCTCATGGAGTGGCCACCATACTCACTCGACCTTAATATCATTGAAAACATTTGGGGATGGTTGGTCAGGAAAGTATATGAGCCCAGAAAGCATTATAGTACAAAGACAGAGTTAATTCAAGGTATTGAACACGCTTGGTCAACCATATCCTTGAATTATATTGAACAACTTTATAATTCCATTCCTAATCGAATTTTTGAAGAAATTAAATAATAAAAAAACGGCACTACTAATATTAATTAAAAAAAAAAAAAAAAAAAAACTATAATAACATAATATACAGGTTCTTTTATGGTATTTAATTTAAATAAGCGTTAACACCCCAGACAACTTTGTATTCGCTCGGCTCCTCACTTTTAAGTTTGGGTTACTAAAATATAAGAAAGCACAATCATTTCGTTTCATGCGCTCGACCGAGATAGTCAAATGTTGAACAAAAGATCCCTCTATGCTCAATGTTTTCCTTGCTCTCTCTCTCTCGATGCTCTCTGCTCTCTAAAATGTGTATACGTATGCGAGGCTCACATTGTGAGCACAAGCAGCAGGTCACGAAAATTGAAATTTGTTCGCAGCAAGAGCCCATGCCTTCCCTTCTGTGTAAAGGGTATTCCGAACTCTTTAAGCCGTTTGCCATGCGTTTTCGTTATTATTTGTCGGAAGAGTATGAAAGCGTTGGTGCGMATAATGAAAATGTTTTCGCGACGAGCATGCACACACACACTTACAGTATGCTACATGTATTATGAGCATTTGTATGCCTGTGTGCARAGCCCTTGCTGGCTGTAGCAATTTGAAATCCTAG